GTAATTTTCTCTCAGATCTGAATACTTTTAAATAATAAAAATAATTATAAGTTATAAAATTAAAACTTATTTATATCGTATTTTATCTTATTTATAATTATTAATAAAATAATCTTACAACTTGATAGCAATGAATAAAGTTATTACAAATATTATTCTCTAATATCTTATACATTACATATTACATATATATTTTATATACATATATATTTTAGTTTTAATAAAATAAATTTATTAAAATAAACTCAGAATAATTTGTCCAATTTATACAGATATGACTGAACTTATCAAGATAGTTAAAGAAGATAATCCCTCTGATCCCAAATTTTTATCTCATCTCTCAATTAAATTATCAACTTACTCAGGAGAATCAAATAAAAATATACTTATTTGGATTATACAAGTCAAAATTATATTTCAGACTCAAGAAATTACAAATGAGAAAACTCAAATATAGTATATCATCACCTTCTTGACTAATATAGCTTTACATTGATATCTCAACAAAATTAAGACAGATAATAATATTACATCTTTTAAAAATTAACAAGTTTTTGTTATAGTACTTAGAGAAATTTTTTAATTATCACATTATTAACAATATTTTCACAGATAACTATGTCTTCTTCATCAAACTGGATCTGTTCAAGACTATGATATAAAATTTAGAAATATAGTTAGATAAATTACAAATATGAGCACTTTAGATCAGATTACATATTTTATAGAAGATCTTAAATCAATTACAAAGATAAAAATTAGTTACTAGAGTAATAATTTATATTAATCAAGAAGAATATATAAATAATAATAAAATATTTTAATAAATTAAAATATATAAAATCAATATATATTATTATTAAATAATTCATATTTTTTTATTAATTTTAAATTTTTTTTATAATTATTTAACTGATCTTATTAAATATCAATTTAATAAAAAAATATAAATATAGTTATAATTCTGAATAAATTGACTAGCAAACTTTAATTATTAAATATATATATAAATAAATAATTTAAATTAAAGATAAAGTTAAATATTTTTATATTATTTATTTGATATATTAAATAACTTATATATTTATTTATTATAATATTATCAATTATATAATAATTGAATGACAAAAGAAATAAAAAATTTGATATCTTCTAATTATATATAATATTCAAGTTACAATATTATTATTAAATAAATAAAAATTGCATAAAATAAAGTTGATTCTCACTTTATTAAATGCTTATTTAAATATTGTGACATTCTAATATTCACAATGAAACTGAAAATAATCTTATTTTTGATTACAATTGGATTGAATATTCTCAAAAATTTGATCAAATTCATATAATTGAAAATAATAATTTGAAAAATCAAGATAATTTTAAAGATGATTATTATAATATTGAAATAATTAATATTACAAATGTATGAAATTAGACTTGGATATATTATTAAGATATAAAATAATATATCCGGATATATTATTAAAATATTAAATTTTGAATTTATATTTTATCAATATTGAAACCTATAGATTCTCTGATTCATTTTGACATTTTAAGATCAGGTGATCGGGCATACATGCCATTTAACATCCAATCAAATTAAAATCCGCCATGTCTACTACTGGTTTTTTACAGTAAAAAGAACAATTTTTTATTGTTAATGAAGTTTTTATCATTTCTGCAATCCACATATTTGTATAATGGTGCGATTATGAGTTCTATTTTTCTATCCGTATGTCAGTTTTCTGCAATGAAATTCATAATGCTCGTCCTTCAAGAAGGCGCCGCAAACTTTTCAGTAGTTTTGTCTCATACATTTCTCCATAGAACCATATAAAGAATCGAAGCACACGCTTCTAATTAAGCAGACAATTCATGTTTAGCGGCTCCCCATAGTTAGTCGACGAATCAAACGTAAACTAGAAGCCAAAAGAACATCAATTTCACATATTGTCACCATCTTTAATAACCGAGAAATAGCATGAAGAGAAAAAGTATGAAAAGTGTGATTCAATGTGTTTTTCCCTAATATATGAACAAAGTATTGCTTATAAACAGTTTTGAATTCATGTGAAATTTCCATGGAATCTACACCGATGAAAATGTCAAATAATTATTAACTTATCAATATAATATCGAAGACTGATGATTCACCTGGAAAAAAAGATCTCAATCGTTATATCGATCTCTTTTTACATCAGCAATAAAATCGTTTCTGCACGCTTATGTAAATTATGATACAATATCCATTGACGCATTCTTCATAAAGTTTCAATTTGGTAGAATGCGGAGGTCTTTGTGAACCGTGTGTGAGAAGCATGCGATTAAGTTTTGACAAAATGATCAGAATGATATCTTTAATTAGTTTAATTATTTTGATACCCGAATTTATGAAAGTCCGTTTAAATTGTTGTTATAAAATATTGATTATATTAATGATCTCAGGGTTTTTAACAATGTCAATGAAAAACGTTTTTTTTTTATCTTCAAAATCACAATCATACATTTTTATACAATTATAAAGTATAACAAACACTTCCACAACCGACGATCACGCAACAAAATCTAATCTAAAACAAATATGATAAAGGAAAAAAAAAAAGGAATAGGTTCATAATGTAATATTGTTTATATTTGTATGCGCGTTTATTTTTTTGTGAGTACAAATACAAAATCTATGTATGCTTAGATCTTTTAGATAAGAAGCCGTTAGGCAAAGATATAGATAGATAGATAGATGCCCGATTATTAATAATACTTGTAATTGTTGGCGGACAGCAGCGACGGGCGTTTAATATTAAATCAACGACATTCGTAGCATCACTACAATTAGAGAGAGAAACAGATTATTCATTTACAATATTTACAATTCAATATCAAATCAAGCAATCAATCAATCTATCGATCTATCAGAAATCTATGAAAGTTTAACATTAGATTTTGATAAAATATTATCGTCAATTGATCATTTGATTCAAACATCGCTGCTGTATCATCGTTATCAGCCATTAAAGGAACAATTCGGGATGAAAAAAAGTTCGGAAAAAAAAAGGTATGCAATGCAAGAGTGACACTACTTCAAATAATAATAATGCATTATCTGTGTTGCCCAAAATCACATATTAGAGATTATCGGATACTTTAATTTCCCTAAAAATCAAAGATCTTATTTCTAATTATACATATGACATATTTAAAAAAACACACACGATGCTTTCCGAAAAGATAAGTTCACATGCTACACATTTTCTTCGTTGTTTATGATGAATTGGTTGATGAACTTGATCAAGATGTGATATATTAAAAAATGTTCTGTAGTAAATGAGAAAAGATCAAACGATAACCAACTATAGCCACACGAAAGAATTATAAAATGAATATTTAACCTTTCTAAAAAACGTTTGCGCGTGTTGCTTGACTTCTTTCAAATAATAATTAAAGCACATTGACGGGCACACACACGACTAATTTAAATATAAAATAGTTCATATATATTTTTCACGAACAAATAAACACTATAAAATAAATATAAATTATTAGAGACGACAAGACGCATTTTCAACATCATTATCAATTCAATCAATTCTCATTATTCATTCTGCAAAAAGGAAAAGAGAATTATTATATTTCCCGAGCTGCTATATAATAATCAATTATCGAATTGGTAAGCAAATAAACGGAATACGTATATCTGTAGTCTGCCTGAAATTTTGATTTTATATTAATAATAAGATCAATAATATATCTCTTTCACAGTATTGTTACATATAAATCTATACAATATATATAATATAACAAGTCATAATATAACATAAAACCTATAGTGGCAAGAAACTATTACTAGAAAGTGCAATTTTAGATTGTGATTACACTCGTTTTTTTGCTCTTTCATTATTTCTTCCACTCTTCAATTGGTATCTTTATCTTGATAGCAAGACGGCAATTTTTCGCCGATATATAATCTGCTGCTTGTTATTGCCGTGATTCAAAAATAAAAGGACACGACGATACTTTTTATTATAATAATAATCTTAATATCTCAACATCTAATAAATCTGCGCGCCTAAGTATAGTTATGGTATCTGTCGCCGAACTTGAAGAAATTAAACAAGAGCAACAACACGAGCAATATACAGATAATTGTAGTGCTAGTGACGACTTTCATCAGAGTAGTGACACTAGCCACAACATTATTAACCTTGAAGAAATTGATCTTTTAAAAGAAGCTGAAGAAAAAAATAGCTTTTATACCTCCACTCCTTTCCTTACAATTGAAAACAGCAACGATGATTTCTCTAGCGGTAATAATAATACTTCTTGGGCTGAATCTATTCCATCCAAACAAGCACTCTATGATCCTGAATACGAAAAAGATGCCTGCGGTGTTGGGTTTATTGTCCACATCAAAGGTGCACCTTCGCACAAAATTCTTAGTGACGCAAAAGGTGTTCTCTGCAACATGACTCACCGAGGTGCCGTAGGTTCTGATACAAGAGACGGTGACGGTGCCGGTGTAATGACTGGAATTCCGCACGAATTTTTTCAATTGGAAACATCAAGAATTGGCATTGATTTGCCGCAACAAGGCCATTATGCTGTCGGTAACGTGTTCCTGAAACCGGAACCTGCTGTGATGGAAGAAAGCAAACAAATTTTTGAACAGATTGCTGAAAATTTGCATTTGCAAGTTCTTGGCTGGCGTGAAGTTCCCAAAGATAATACCATTCTCGGGCCTGCTGCTAAATCTCGTGAACCAATCATTTTGCAACCTTTTGTCACCCTCGCAAATCTTTCCACGAACGGAAATGAATTTGACGAGTCCTTTTTTGAACGACAGCTTTACGTATTGAGGAAGCAAGCCACTCATGCAATTACCGTGAAGAAGTGGTTTTATATTTGTTCGCTGTCTAGCAAAAATATCATATATAAGGGTCAACTTTCTCCCGTGCAAGTCTATAATTATTTTCATGATTTAAATAATGTACTCTATAAGACACATTTTGCCTTGGTACACTCACGATTCTCGACTAATACTTTTCCTTCTTGGGACCGCGCTCAACCAATGAGATGGTGTGCACACAATGGTACTTATTATCATTCCTATTGTTGTTAATATTGGATATATATAATCCCGCTTAATTATAAATCCTAATCCTTGCATTTAATCTCTTACGATAAAAAGGTGAAATCAACACATTAAGAGGCAACAGAAATTGGATGCGTGCCCGTGAAGGTATTATGAAATCAACCCTATTTGGCAATGAGCTCGATCTATTATATCCAATCATCGAAGAAGGAGGTTCCGATTCTGCCGCTTTCGACAACGTGTTAGAATTACTCGTGATCAATGGTGTTGTCTCGTTACCCGAAGCGGTAATGATTATGATTCCGGAAGCATGGCAAAATAATGAATATATGGAGCCGGAAAAACGTGCATTTTATAAGTGGGCTGCATGTTTAATGGAGCCTTGGGATGGTCCTGCTTTATTCACATTCTCGGATGGTCGCTATTGCGGCGCAAGTTTGGATCGTAATGGTCTAAGACCTTGTCGATTCTATATCACCACTGATGATCTAATGATTTGTGCATCAGAAGTTGGTACTACATTTATTGAACCGGAACGTGTAGTGCAGAAAGGACGTCTGCAACCAGGAAAAATGTTGTTAGTCGATACTGAAGAAGGTCGTGTTGTCGATGACAAAGAATTGAAATTATCGGTTGCTGCTCGTGAAAATTTCCAAGCTTGGATTGATCGACAAATGATTTCACTTGATGATATTGTTAGAAAAATTAAAAATACTGGTAATGGAGTTTCGGTCCAGTTAGACGCTACAACTATTGCCGAAGATCCACGATTGAAAGCTTTTGGTTATACAATTGAACAACTTAATCTTTTAATATTACCGATGGTATGTAAGCTAATGCTTTTATTGAATTTTATAACGCTTTTCTAAGTTAGGTTTAAATTTTTTTTGAATTCAGATTGCTGAAGGAAAAGAAGCACTTGGATCAATGGGCAATGATGCACCTTTAGCATGTTTATCAAGTCAACCTCGTTTAATTTATGACTATTTTAGACAACTTTTCGCTCAAGTCACAAATCCGCCGATTGATCCTATTCGTGAAGAAATTGTCATGTCTTTGGAATGCTATGTGGGACCGGAAGGAAATATTTTGGAAGTTAACGAACAGCAAACACGCAAATTATTATTGAAATCTCCGGTCCTTTCAATTGACGAATTAAATTCAATCAAACGTATGGAACGTGTGCAACCTGATTGGAGTGTAGCCACCATCGATATCACCTTCCCAAAACAGGAAGGTGTACCTGGATATCTTTTAGCCTTGGAACGCGTGTGCGCCGAAGTATCTCAAGCCATTCAAGAAGGATTCAAAGTGGTTGTACTTTCAGATGTCGCCACCAATGCCGAAAGAGTTGCCATCTCCTCGTTAATCGCCGTCGGTGGTGTTCACCATTATTTAGTTCGTAGTAAACAGCGATCAAAGATTGCATTAATTATTGAAACTGCGGAGGCTCGTGAAGTTCATCATGTTTGTGTTCTTTTGGGTTATGGTGCAGATGCAATCTGTCCTTACTTGGCGATGGAAGCAATTTTGAAATTGAAGCGTGAGAATGCGATTAAGAGTGATCTTACCGGCGAAAAAATTATTTCCAATTACAAAAAAGCTATCAATAATGGTATTTTGAAGGTTATGTCAAAGATGGGAATCTCAACTCTGCAAAGTTATAAGGGTGCACAAATTTTCGAAGCTTTGGGAATTGACGAAAGTGTGATAGCACGTTGTTTTGCCGGTACTGCAAGCAGAATAAAAGGTAATAATTTATTTTTTTCTTTTAATTGGAATTAATTAATTTTTTAATACTCAATTTCTGTTTCATACAAAAACAGGAACCACATTTGATTTTCTGGCTTTAGACGCATTTGCATACCACGAACAAGGTTTCCCAACACGTGACACAGTCCTTCCACCCGGTCTTCCTGAATCCGGTGAATATCACTGGCGTGATGGTGGAGAAGCACATATTAACGACCCAATAGGTATTGCAAATCTTCAAGACGCCGTTCGTTCAAAGAACCAGTTATCATATGATTCTTATGCTCGCAATGCATACGAACAAATCAAAAATTGTACTCTTCGTGGTCTTTTGGAGTTCGACTTCGAGAATTCAAAACCTATTCCGATTGACCAGGTCGAGCCTTGGACTAATATTGTGAAACGATTTTGTACGGGAGCAATGTCTTATGGTTCGATATCTATTGAATCGCACTCCGCACTCGCCTTGGCAATGAATCGATTGGGCGGTAAATCTAATACTGGAGAAGGAGGCGAGGTTTGTCATTTTTTGATTTCGAGTAATAAATGAGTTAAAAGAGAGAAATTAAGAATATCTATGGACTGAATTTGATAACTAGGATCCTGAAAGATCCATCATATTAGAAAACGGTGATACCATGAGATCATCAATTAAGCAAGTTGCATCGGGTCGTTTCGGTGTTACGGCATATTATTTATCAGACTCTGATGAATTACAAATTAAAATGGCGCAAGGTGCTAAGCCTGGAGAAGGAGGTGAATAAATAATTTTATTATACAACTATAAAATTCTATTGTATCATTTTGCTAATCCCTATAAACGTTGACTTAACAGGTGAATTGCCTGGTCACAAAGTATCGGATGCTATTGGCAAAACACGTAAATCAACACCAGGTGTCGGTTTAATCTCGCCGCCACCTCATCATGATATTTACTCAATTGAAGATTTGAAACAACTTATTTATGATCTGAAATGTTCGAATCCACGTGCTCGTGTCTCAGTTAAATTGGTTTCGGAAGTTGGCGTTGGTATGTTGCACTTTTATTCTTAAGTATTTGTAAAAGTATTTATTATTCTAACTTGAATATTTAAATAAAAAAAAAAGGTATTGTTGCATCCGGAGTTGCTAAAGCTAAAGCTGATCATATTCTAATTTCTGGACATGATGGTGGCACTGGTGCATCTCGATGGACTAGTATCAAATACGCTGGCTTACCTTGGGAACTTGGTCTTGCTGAAACACATCAAACTCTTGTACTAAATGATCTTCGTGGTCGTGTGGTAGTGCAAACTGACGGACAAATAAGAACTGGACGTGATGTTGCGATCGCCTGTTTATTAGGAGCTGAAGAATGGGGATTTGCTACTACACCATTGATCGCTATGGGATGTATCATGATGCGAAAATGTCATTTAAATACTTGTCCTGTGGGAATTGCCACGCAAGATCCTGAACTTCGTAAGAAATTCGAAGGACAACCAGAACATGTTATCAATTTCTTCCATTATGTCGCTGAAGAGTGTCGTCAGATTATGGCAAAACTTGGATTCCGCACTATTAATGAAATGGTCGGTCGTTCAGATCGATTAAAGGTTAATGACTCTCTCCGTAGTGCCAAAACCGACAATATCGACTTGACGCCAATTCTTACTCCTGCTTTCACTTTACGTCCCGGCGTTGCAACATATAATGTAAAAAAACAAGATCACAAACTTTATGTTCGTCTTGATAATAGACTCATTGATGAGTCCGAAGATGCACTAGTCAAAAAATTACCTGTAAAGATTGATTGTGCTGTGGTGAACACAGATCGTGCACTTGGTACCACATTATCTTATCACGTTTCTCGTCGTTGCGGAGAAAATGGTCTTCCCGATGATACCATTCATGTGAATCTTAAAGGTTCTGCTGGACAATCCTTTGGTGCATTCTTGGCACCTGGTATTACTCTCGAATTGGAGGGAGATGCAAACGATTACGTCGGAAAAGGTCTTTCTGGAGGTCGTATTATTGTTTATCCACCCAAAGTCTCAACATTTAAATCTGAAGAAAATATTATTGTTGGAAATGTATGTTTATATGGCGCAACTGGTGGCCAAGCGTTCTTCCGAGGCATTGCAGCTGAACGTTTCTGTGTACGTAATTCCGGAGCTACGGCTATAGTTGAAGGAGTTGGTGATCATGGTTGTGAATATATGACAGGAGGACGTGTAGTTATACTTGGATCAACTGGCCGTAACTTTGCAGCTGGTATGAGTGGTGGAATAGCCTACGTTTTAGATATTGCACAAGATTTCAAGAGCAAATGTAATATGGAGATGGTTGATCTGGAAACAGTCAATGACGCAAAAGAAGTTGCTTTCTTACGTGGTATCATTGAAGATCATCATCATTATACTGGCTCTGACTTGGCCGGTCGTATATTAAAAAATTTCAATCAAATTCTGCCACGATTTGTCAAAGTAATGCCGGTCGATTATCGAGCTGTACTCGAAAAACAACGAATTGCAGCAGAACTAAAAGAAAAATCAAAACCATCCGCCGAACCTGTGGTCGAAATTTCTGCCAAACCCGTTGAACCAGCTCTAGTTGACATAGAAGACGCGATGGTCGATGCAGAAGCAGCAAAGAAACGAACCGAAACTCTCGATAAAGTACGTGGCTTTATGAAATACAAACGACGCGGTGACAATTATCGTAATCCATCAAAACGTACAAAAGACTGGAATGAGATTAATGCGCGATTATCTGAAGCTGCTCTTAAAGAGCAAGCGGCTCGTTGTATGGATTGTGGTGTGCCTTTCTGTCAATCAGATACTGGATGTCCTATTGGAAATATTATTCCTAAATGGAATGATCTCGTGTTTAAAAATCAATGGAGGGATGCGTTGAACCGTCTTATGATGACTAATAATTTCCCAGAATTCACTGGTCGTGTTTGCCCTGCACCTTGTGAAGGTGCATGTGTATTGGGTATAAATGAATTACCTGTCAGTATAAAATCTATCGAATGTGCAATTATCGATAAAGGTTTCGAAATGGGATGGATTGTTCCACAACCGCCTGCCATTAGAACTGGTAAAAAGGTTGCCATCATTGGATCAGGTCCTGCTGGCTTATCTGCTGCTGATCAACTGAATAAAGCCGGACATACAGTTATTGTATATGATCGTAATGACCGATTCGGTGGTTTATTGATGTACGGTATTCCAAATATGAAATTGGACAAAAAGATTGTCCAGCGGAGAATTGATCTCCTCGCTGCAGAAGGTGTTAAGTTTGTTGCTAATGCTCATGTTGGAGTGAATGTCGACGCTACTAAAATACGTCAAGAAAACAATGCATTAATACTGGCTACTGGAGCTACATGGCCGCGTGATCTAAAAGTTCCTAATAGAAATTTGGATGGTATACATTTTGCAATGGAATTCTTACAACTAAATACGCAGAGTCTCTTAGATTCAAATTTGGAAAATGGAAAATATCTGAGTGCAAAGGATAAAAAGTAAATTTCGATATTTTAAATATTTAAAAATTTTGCAATCAACTAATTAATTTCTTTTTTTTAAAGTGTAATTGTTATTGGAGGAGGCGACACTGGTACTGACTGTATAGGCACATCATTGCGTCATGGTAAATACGCTATGTTAATCTACTTAATTTTACATTGCAACATACTTTAAGATTTATTTAATTTAATTCTTCTTTACTTTCGTATAATCTAGGCGCTAAATCTATAGTTAATTTTGAGCTATTACCGGCGCCACCAGCAACCAGAGCCAAAGATAATCCATGGCCACAATTTCCTCGAGTATTCAAAGTAGACTACGGCCACGCTGAAGTTCAAATGAAATTCGGAAAAGATCCCCGTGAATTTTGTATACTAACAAAAGAATTCGTATCTGACGGCAAAGGTCACGTCGCAGGTCTAAACACTATTCGTGTCGAATGGTCAAAAGACAATGCTGGTCGATGGACAATGAAAGAAATTCCCGGTTCAGAACAATTTTTCGCTGCCGATTTAGTGCTGTTGGCTATGGGATTTTTAGGTCCCGAAGATAAACTAATACATAGTCTTGGACTAAAAACTGATGCACGAACAAATATTGAAACTCCAAAAGGCAAATACTCGACCGTCGTTCCAGGTGTGTTCGCCGCTGGTGATTGTCGCCGTGGACAAAGTTTAATTGTGTGGGGAATTAATGAGGGACGTCAAGCTGCACGAGAAGTTGATCAGTATTTGATGGGTGATTCTAATCTTCCAGTGTCGGGTGGTATAAAACAACGCACTCTCGAATCTCTTTCAAATCAATCTAATCATGGGCTTGTCGTTGTTGCCCGTTAAGAACTTTATTTCATTAATTAATTAAAAAAATTTTTATACATTCCCCCTTATTTATTTTGTAATTTAATTATAGTAAATTTTATGTACATGTAAATAACAATTATAAATATACATAACAATACAATACAAATACTTATGTGATTATAACTTAATGGTGAGAATAATGATTCCACAAGGATAATTATTAATTGGAAATTTATTCCATAAATCGATCACATTCAGAACATCAATTTTGTTAAACCTCAAAATTGTTTCTTTTGAATATAGAAATAATTCAGATTTTTTAGAAGTTTGAGGCGGCCAACGCGAACATAAAATATAAGAATTATATTTTTGTAGCGCATTTTTTTTGAAAAGTGGCGGCCATCACGACCACGTTTTGATTCTTAATCTGAATTAAGAAAATTTGCAACCGAAAAACTTACATTTCATATGACTTTTCTCGAATGTTGCAAGTTTAGTATTGAACAGAACAACTTCGTGACTATTTCTATCAGAAATACAACTCTTTCTACCAGAAAAATCACATCTCCTATCCTATTTATCAAACACTTTTATTAGTACTTCTTATTTTTATCTTCATTTTATTATTACATTTTACTATTCATATACATATCCCATATTTAATTTCTCTTTCATATATATTTATCTTCTTATTTTATAAATAAGTTGTCATATATGACCAAAAATAAGGTCTTCTCCAAATAATTCTTTTTAAACATCAAAATTGATAGGGATCTTATTTTTGAAATCTTGTTTCTTATTAATAGAACATGACTTAAAATATATCTTTGAATAATATATATAAAAAAGAAGAATAATAATCATATTTTATCAAAAAAAAAGATAACTATTATTCATTTTGTTCTGATCTTTAATAATATCAAGATAATTTATTTTAATATTAACAAATATATAATTTGCAAATAAGTAAAAAGCTTTAAAAAATCAACTTCTTAATTTTAAAAATCACAAGTCTTATCAAATTAATATTAAAAGAAAAGAAAAAGTTTTTTACTTGATTTAATAAAATATATAAGATTATCTTAGTAATTACATATTATAATTTCAAAATTAAAATATTAAAGCTTATTATTTAAATTATTATCAATTATAAATAATTTCAAAAAAATATTTATTCAAAATGAATTAAAGATTTTTTATATTAGTATAATTTTATTTTTTGTTGTAAAATAAAAATATTATAAAAATTATTCAAGAATTTTAAAGAAAAATTACTTGAATTTTAATAATATATAATCTAATTTTGTTATCTTAAAAATTATTAACTTAATTATATTATAAATATAAATAAAATATTAATATGATTTGATATGACAATTAAGTTTATTATTGAGAAAGTTAAAAAAAATATAGTTCATATTCATATTATAAGAAATAATAAAAATTAATTTATAATTATTTTATCTATTTTATAAATAAAAAAAACTTTAACTAATTATTATTTTTAAAGAGAAATAATAATCAAAAATCAAAAAAATATAATTATTATTACCTAATATTAATATATTTTTTCATAATAAAAACTGGATAAATAAAAAAGAAATAATAATTTAAACTTATAATTTTATAAAAAAATAACTAAACAAACATAATAAAAAATTTATCTTGCTTATTTGTAATTTTTTCAAGCTTATACTACTAATAATATCAAGAATAAAATGAAAAAGAATAATATTAATCTTGTTATTATTTTTAATAAACTTATATTTATCTTTTTATTATTAATAATATATATAATTAATAAGTAATAAAAGTAAAATAATTACTAATAAAAATTTAAAGTATACAAGTTTATTGTAAGATTATTTTATTAATAATTATAAATAAAATAAAATATAAGATAAATAGTTTTAATTTTATAACTTATAATTATTTTTATTATTTAAAAGTATTCAGATCTAAAGTTAATTTACAAAATAAAAAGATCTTATTTATAAGAAATAAAATAAATATAAAATATGAATAAATTAATAATAATTAATTAAAATATATATAGATTAAACAGAATTAATTAATTTAATTTGCATCTCTAAAGAATAACTGGAAGAAAGAATTAAAATGCTGATATATTATTCCAGATATATTTGAAAGATTATTAAATAACTTTTTTCTTTATAATTACAATATGAATTTAATAACTTATTATAATTTATAATAATATTTGAATAATAAAACTTATCCTATAGGATCAACAATGTAAAATTCATAATCAAGTAAAATACTTTTTATAAATTAATAGTATATTATACAAAATTAATAGAAGAAAAGAACTAATTATATCTCTTCAAGTTATTAAAGAAAATGAAATATAAGCTATTCTTATTAATTTACATTCAAGCTCTTTATCTAAATATTTTGAATATAAAGGAATCTATCAACAAATTATAAATAAATATTGATAAAATAATATGGGAACAGATATCAAGAATTATGTGAAAACTTGTAAGATCTGCCAATAAACTAGTAAAAAACTATCAAATAATCTTTATATTTTATCAAAATTAAATAATTCTTTGACAGAATAGTTATTAATCTTATTGAATCTAGTAAAATAATAATAACTAAAAATTAATATATTATTACAGCAATTAACTATCTTACAAAATAATCTGAAGCTAAAGTAATTTCAGATAAGAAAGCTATTACAATTATAAAATTTATCTTTGAAGAAATAATTTGTAAACATGAATACCCTAAAGAAATTCAATCAGATAATTAATTAGAATTTATTAATAAAATAATCAAAGAATTATCAACAAAATTTAGAATTAAATATAAATTTTCTTTATCTTATAATTCACAATTGAATAGAATAATAAAATACTTTAATAGAATACTATATACAATCTTACAAAAATTGATAATAGTACATAAACAAGAATGAGATATCTTCATTTCTGCTATTCTTTTTACTTATCAAACTAATAGAAATTCAATAACAAAGTATGAGTTATTTTTCTTGATCTATGTTAAAAATACTAAATTACTAATTGAATTAAAAATTCCTACCTATTTGGAAGAAGATTCTACAGAAGAAGAAAAATTAATATAATAAATATATCATACAGTAAATCAGTTACCTTAACAAATTTTGAAAGCAAGACAAAATATAAAAGAATAATAATTGTGATATTCTCAAATATTTAATGATAAAATTCAAAATGAAATAGTTTTTTGAAATTAAAAATAAAGTATTATTATTTAATATGAAATAATACTTAGTAATTAGAGATAAATTTTAATCTATCAGAAGTAAAGAATGATATTATATTCATAACTATACTAGATATAACTCTTATAAAATTTATGATTAGAAAGAAAAAGTTCACAAGTACAATCAACACTTCCTAAATATATACTTTCTAAATATACACTCTCTCTAAATGCATGATAGTTTGTGATCCTAATCTTGAGACTTAATACTTAAATGCATATTCTATATTCTGCATGTATAATAAATTTTGATAATTCTATCTATATGAGAATAATTCTCTAAATGCATATACGTAATTTCAAATATAAATTTAATAAGCAATATATTATTACTATCATATATCAGATAAAATTTATAATTGATAGGATTTTGCAATATTTAATTTAGATATTTAATATCAGCTACTATTATCTAATATATCAATATTGGAAGAGTTATCATTATCTATGCAGACCATTCAATCAGATCACTTAATCAGATTATTTAATCAGACCATTCAATCAGATCACTTAATTAGACTATTTAATCAGATCATTTAATCAGGCCATTTCAGTTTAAAGATCAAATAGAACTTATTATAAAGTATTATAATTTTAATAATCAAATAGCTATTTAAAAAAATAAGATTTATAGTATCATTAATTTTAAACTTTAAAATTGTAATTAATTATATATGAATACATAATATCAATTAATAAAATTATCATGCTTTCAAGAATAAAGATTACTTTGACAGATATCCAAAAATATGAATTTTATCTGTATATTTATCATAGTTTAGAGAATCAAATAGAGTATATTAACTGAATTAAAAATAAATAGAATATCAGAATTAGCAAATCTATAGTATTACAAATTCTTTAGATAAAGAATAAGTAACTTTTAACTGAAATTAATATACCAAAAGCGAAAAGATATAGATTAGTTATATTTTTACAATTTGAACAAGCTCTTAAAGAATTTGTATTGATACGTTAGCATCAAGTAGTATTAAGTAATGTTATTTTAATCAAATATACTAAATTATTAGTAAGTAAACTAGAGATTTCTAAAGATACATTAAATTTCTCTATTGATTAACTTCAGAAATTCAAAAAATATCATTCTATATATCAAGTCAAACTCCATGAAGAAGAAGTATCTATTGATCTGATAGCAGTTTCTAAAACTTTATCATGATTATATAATATATGTAGTAATTATCCTCCTGAATGAATCTATAATATAAATGAGATAGAACTCTTCTATCAGTAAGTAAATATATTTTTGTAGATAGTTTAATATAATAATAAATATTATACTAATCTTTATAGACTGAAGCTAGATAGATTGCTAGTCACATAACATCTTGCTGGTTATAAGAAAGATAAGAAACATCTTTTTATCACCCTTTGTGCAAACTCTAATAGGTTACATAAATTAGATCCTCTAGTTATTGACAAATATGTAAAATCACATTATTTTAAAAATGTAAATTCATAACCTATCAGTAATATATTAAAATAATAGTAAAACTTGGATACTTACATCTCTATTTCAAGAGTAGATTCAAAATTTTGATAATCAAATAATCAATAAGTATGGAAATAATTATATTCTGCTTTTCATAAATAATTATCCAAGCTATAGATTAAAAGATTTGAATATTTAGCATGTTAATATACATTTTCTCCTATCTAATATGATTGCCAAGATCTAACTTATAGATAGTAGAATTATAATAGCTTTCAAAAAATATTATCATCATCATTAAATTTGGTAT